CTACAATTTTAAAAATTTATACACTAGTAAACAAAATAGACTGGGGGGGGGGGGGTTAGGGTATTCCTACTCGTACAATGAAGCAAACAGTAATTCTTGGGTGTAGGGTTTCGACATTTCTACGAACAAGTTTATTTTCGGATGTACATTTTCCCCAAAACCTCCGAAATATAGATTTTTTTCCTCGATCACAGGTCATTCATTAATACGTTGATTTTGCCACCTGAGGTGTACAATAATCACCGAGGCCGAAGGGCGAGGTTAAATGACAATAATAATAATAATAATAATAATAATAATATATAAATAACCTGATGGTTAACCATCACCTTAACCTTAACCTGTTAAGCTTTTTTACAGTTCTAAATATCTTTCATTTCTGTAGACTTTTCATATCTTTTTCCTACTTAATTATATAACTATATCATGTTACTTTTTTCTACAATGTCTTTTGTGGTGTTTTTTGGATACTAGTAAGATCTTAAAATCAGTGTCGACGCAGTTAAGCGATCAGGTATGGAAACAATGAAAAATCCATAGGCGCAACGTCCATAATGTGGATGTGGGGTATTGTGGTATAGCAGGAGTTGAATCATCTAAAATGTTAAAAGCACGTCGACTCCATGCTTTTATTCTCGAAAAGATAAAAGTTTGGAACAGGTCATGGTCTATGTGTCATTAAGGATGATTTTAAATCCTTAAATTGTGTTCGTAAATATGGTATTATTCTACATTCTTATCCTCAACATTAACAGAGGACTTGGTACATGGCGTTAATTCTTTCCCGTGTACACTTTTCTTCCAGGCCCTCAGAACAGTATTTGGGCAAAGACATGGTAGATTTAACGGTTTATTCTGGGAGTATAGCACCGTAAAAGGACAGTAGACGCCCAAACATATCAAGACTCATCTGCAGTTAAATCTTGTGGTTTGGAAGTGAAAATATCTATATAGTAGTAGAAAAGAAGACAAATTCCCAGATGTATAAATATATAATCGAATAAAGTTAAACAGTATATACACATCTATTACAATTTTCTTCGGGACATTCAGATTTTCAGATTACCTTTCTCTCCTGTTAATTATGCAAATAAATAATTTTTTCTTTCAGAAAAAAAATGCAAGTTTGCTTCTTCACTCTATCGTGACCGGTCATTAGCCTAGTGGCAGAGCGTTCGCTTCATAATCGGGAGGCCCAGTTTCGATTCTTGTTCGCCGCGCCGCGTCAAACATAAGACGTAAACATTGGTAGTGATTGTTCCTTCGCCAAGCGCCCGGCATTAGAAGTGCAAGTCAATGAGTCTTTGAATTTAGACCTTAAAAATCGAGGTCCAGTGTCACGGTAGGCGTTAGCACGATAAAGAAAACTCACTGTTCCATTGCTGAACAAAGTTAGTATCGATACTGTAAAAGTATTGTTCTTCGAGATAATATTAATACAATATCTCATGTTGTCAAAGTGGTCCAACCTTCTGTCATCTAAATAATCAAAAATATGCCCGTGGGTCTAAATGCTCACTAGCTAATTAGACCAGAGATAAACTATATTCCTTATTCCTATCATGCCTATTGACGCGTCTTAATGATTGAGTAAATTGAATCGTGGGTTCAAATCCATCGGCCGCGACAACATTAGTCGATAAAAAAAGATTAGGTGCACATGTAGCAAATGTTTCTATGCCAAGCGCTTGGCACTTTTACACTTTTAAGTGATAGTTGATCTTTCGGATGAGACGTTAAATATCGAGGCTCTGTGTCGCGGCAGGCGTTGGCACAACAAGGATCCCTTACAGTTCAGTGAGCCGGAGTGCTCAGTAAACGTCTAAATTTGAAGCCTATACTGGCATACGGTGACGTCTCATATGAGTGATATAATTTTGCAAAAGCCTTGAAACTACTACTAAGCAATCAATGAATCTATCTCTAATATGCTGATAGGCAAGTACTTACTATTGCACAATCGTTCATAGACAATAGCGTCAATGAAGGGATGACGTGTTTGTACGATTACGATGACGCGATAACAATGACGCAATACTGCGATAGCTCGATGGGGATGATGCAATGACGCGATAACGTGATGTCAATAGTACAAGAGCATGATGGAGCGAAAGCGAGTAACGTTTCATCGTCATCGAACATGTACATGTACCATCGCGCCATTGTCATTACATAATCGCGTCTTCGCACCATTGTTTCACATAACTGCGCCATCACATCATGATAATGATGCTATCGAAATATTGTGTCATTGTCATCGCACAATCGCGTCACACTTTCTCGCGTCTCCTCAAGGGGACTTAGTAGAATACGTGGACCTACTGAGTATCTGGATTCCATACTTTCTTGATAAATTAACAAGTTTAATGTACACTATTCATGAAACATTTTTAAAATACCTTCTAACTGATGCAAGTGGCGGATCCAGCAGGGGGATGGTCAGAAAGGTATACAGACCCCTTCGATTTATAAAAACAAAATAACCAAGAAATGACCCTCAAATATGTATAACACTTAATATCCTCATTTTGAAAATCAGTAAAATCACATAATAAAGATACTAGAATTGTCATTTTACTTCCAAATATCATGCGATATGGTGTTATTCCCCTATGGTAGCGTTAAGTAAAAATTCCAGTAGTCAGTTTACAAGTTTATAACAGATTTTAAATAATTACAATAACATTATACGAGGGTTGTCCGGTAAAATCGTGGACAAGTTGTCTATATTGAAAAATAATCGTCACTGCGTTCTAAAACTTTCACTACTTTTTAGTACATTTTTAATCAATATACATAGCAAATTTCGAATAGATATTTGCTCAAATAAACAAAATATGAGACTTTATGTTATGTATGGTATCGTCTTACGGCGCACGGATGATAACGTCAAAGTCTTTAAAGCAGCGTCACTTTTCCTCTTTGCTAAATAAAAGTTGGATAAGCCCCACTTAAATTCGGGGATTTCATTGATGCACATACTTGATTTTCCCTTTATTCCTCCATAAACAGTCAAGGAACCAATCTCGAACACACGGGGGACCTTCTTAAGATTTACTAGGAAGATATGGACAGTACTCTCACTATCATTCAACTAAACAGGTTCTCTTATATCTACGGTCTACAGTGACAGCGTCTTTTGCTATTGCCAGTAGCTGTTTGTCCTTATGTTTTGTTCTACCCGGGGACCCGATCAAAAGCTTCCGCTTAGAAAACTCCCATTTCACTTGTATCCTAAAAATTTAGTGATATTTTTATATATTTTATTCTTCTGTAGCCATTTTAAGTTTTTAGGGCGTCATTACTACATCTAAATCAAACTGAACTGCTCTCCGGTGCGCAGTAACGTCAACAAACGTCGCCATTTTTCGTGTGTTGTGTTTACCACTTTCCCATTTCAAATGCTCAGGAAACAGCCAAAAATTAAGCAAATGCCTTGATATTTTATAAAAGACGAAATAATAGATAGTGGATTAAAAATAGGATAATTTTTTCCCTAACCTTATCTATTTAATACTTTTATTTCGAAATAATACTCGTGTATTCGCTAATGAAACCCTGATTTTTTGATCGTGCGCCGTAGGACCGTACCCTGTGCACATTCAAGCATAATAAAATCTTTATTTTTGTCTATATTTTATCCAAAAAATTAAGATGCACTTGAATATGATGAATAAACATTTGCTGAAAATTTCAGCTTAGTGTGCCCATTATTTTTCGAGAAAAACGCTTTGTCCACGATTTTACCGGACAACCCTTGTACATGTCTTAATTTGAATATCTTTTTCAATTCCCTAACATGTGCTGTCACGCTCCTATACATGCATTTTAAGGGTGGTTCCGCTGGAGATGGTAATACACGGCAGCTACCGGGTAGCTTCCAGTTTAAGGGAGCTACTAGAACGTCATTTGTATACATCATATAAGCAAATGACACAGGCAATTGACGTTTTAAACCGTTCTCTGTAGTGATAAAAATATCCCCATACCATAATTATTATAATATGCGAATATTTTTATCAATAAAGAGAAAGGTTTAAAACGGCAAATAATTTTCTCCATTACAGAAAGTATACAGGAGAATTCTTTGAGCTAATTACGTGGAAGAATTATTCAAGAAAATGTGGATTTTCGGTTAGTGTGAGGGAAAGAGCGTGTAAATTTAGTTTTATCTTTTTTCATGATATTTGAACAGTTTTCAATTTGTTTGCTCTTATACTGTAAAAATCGTATCTAGAATTATTAAAAATAGTTTCAAATTATCCCAAGATTTTAATAAAAGCAAATTTTAGCTTTAGTCTTAATCAATTTAGGAAGTAATTCTTATCAGTTGATTAATTAATCGGACGTATAATTTATTAAGTCTTATTACAATTACATGCAGTAAATAATTCCAAGAAAAACTGTGTAAATATGTCATGTTTAAACCACTGTTGGTTCAAAAATAATATTAGGTTTGACAAACTCAGCAAACGAGCATGAATAACAAAAAGGACTAGATATCATTTAAAAGAACTTTGTGTGTGGTTTTTTATCGTCTAGTCAAAACAAAAGGGAAGATACATTAAAAATACATGAAACGTTATGTATTAAAAATGATTAAACAAAAAGTGTTAGATAACAAAGAAAGTTGGATTTGAGCTCAAACGATGTCTGTAGAAATATACGAAAATAAATCATGTCGTTCTATATTCAGTACATACATTTATAGAAAAAAGTAATTTTTTGCATTCGATTTTTTTAAATATTCGTGAAGATATTGAGGCACGAATAATAATTCAGTATGGCTCAGATACATTTATCTACATGTTAAAAATGCTCAACCGTTTATGCTGATAAATTGTAAAAAGAAAACCAAAAGTTATTGATGGTTTTTCTGGGTCAGCATTTTCAGAAAATGAGAGATTTCTTCGAAACATTTGCGTCGAAGGCACTTTCAGAAAACAGCATTCACATTATATACACAACAGCGGCTTACAGATACGCCCCCACCTCACTGCAGTCATCTTATTGTGAGGTACAGCAGACAAACTATTTCATAATGGTAGGGGTACCGGTTTTAACTGTTCTGATTTCATGTCTTGGAATATTGTCTGCAAATGCAGGTATGATCTTTTAATTGGCAATATAAGTCTTGATGTGCGTTCCTCTTCAAGGTATCAACCTCAAGATATGCTTTTAACATATGGCATTTTGCTTCTTATTAAAGTTGTCTTTAAAAATTTGCATTGAAGTGAATTGATATAAACTTGTAATTTATTAGAATTTTCTGCAATTTACACAGGTGGACTTAAAATCGGCTTATGCTCTTTCTGTCATTTTCACTCAGCTGTGAAAGAATTGAATGATTAATGATGAAAACTGAGATTAAACATAGACCGCAGCAAGGGAATGCGAGAAAATATGTCTAGAAGCAGATTTCCATCACATGTGTATCAAAAATATGTCATATCTGATGTTTTTGACAGGTGGAGAAGTAAAATTTAGGTGACACAATTTCCTTAATCCGAACGATAACAGCCAGCTGTAGAAATTGAATTCTGCAGAAAAAAAATATTATAATTTTTGCATGTAATATCAAACATAAATAATTTTTATGATTTTTGTTGCATTAAAGTTGTTTTTATAAGGCTATTTCCGGAAAAGAGTGTTTGTTACTCCTCCTACTCACCTGATCCCACCTATAATGTTTCCAGGGGTCCATGTTTTTGCCTTGTTCACGATCCGTTTTCTTTACTTTTGGATTTATGAGATTGATTACTGTTTTTATCTTATTTGTTAAAACCAAAACGAAATACAGAAGAACAAGATGTTTTCAAAACAATAGACCGAAATTATTATTTCGGAAACTATAGAAGAAGGGGGAAACATTGCCCGAAAGGAGAAAGGGGTCAATATACTGTAGATTCCTTATTTTACGCGAGTACTTATTATCGCGAAATGACCCAAGGGCGTCAAATCGCGAGAATAATATTTCGCGAATGGTTTATTTATCTAGAGATTTTACATACATTAAAGCACCATAAAAATAAAAGCGAGTAATTTTATTTCGCGAGCGGTGTTTCTCGCGTAATTACGCGATAATTTATTCCTCGCGTACATTTAGGAATCTACAGTATTGAGTCTTCCAACTGGAAGAAAGGCTACGTGTATTTTGTGATACTTCCCCGGGAGAAGGCTTACTGTATAGCAAGCTTTCGGAGGAAAGGCTCACTATACAGCCATCCAGAGGGAATGATCAATACATAGCCAGTTTCCGGGGAAAGGCTAACTTTATGAGTCATCTAGAGGAAATGCTCAATATATACACAGTTTTCCTGGGGAAGACTCACAATAATGAATATAGCCATCCGGAGGGAAGGTTCAATATAAAGCCAGTTTTCATGGGGAACTCTCACTATACAACAGTGGAAATCTAGACAAAAGATCCAGACGCCTTTGATTGTAAAGCAATGATGTATAATGATAAAAAGAAGCTTGAATTATTTTAGTTTAACAATCATATTGATATGAGGTAAAAATAGACAAATATTGCAAATCATTTTATGATAGTTAAAAAAAATTAACAATAAAGTTTTAAAACGAAGAACTTCACTGAGTATACTATTATCAAAATCTCAAGTCTTAGGATAATTAGTGAAACGATTCAGTCAGAGGTAACACATTGTATAGAACATAAAGTCTTTGCAAAATATGAAAATAAATACCAGTAATCAAGCTCAGAAGTCTATAGGAACAATACAAATTGGGAGCAAACACGGGCCTCTAAAACATCTATAAAGCATCCTCTGTTGACCGGTCAAACCCGCTGTTTGCAAGTGCCACAATGGCGATTTTACCAACAATTAATTAATACAATAATGCTTAATTGAACAGAGTAAAATAAAACAAAAATAAAAATAAATTAAAACAGTTCCATTTTGTATTTACAAGGAAAGAATTCTGTAGACAATAAAAAATTGGTGTCAAATACGATTGCTTAAAGTTGAAACGGTATTTGCAATAAGGTAGAGTTAAAACAAAGCATATTAATGCCGTTTTGTGCCAATAGTATATTCCTTTACATAAAGGACAAAAATTCTTGTGAATTTATATTCAATATAGAAAAACTCAAATTGTCTTTGCAGACTTTGAGTTCGAGATTGACATCAGATACTTTCTCCAATCAATTATAAAGCGTTATCGCAAACGTAACTACCAAATTAAGCTCACTCTCCGTTTGAATCAATTTTATCCAAATGATCAGCATTCCAATTATTGATCTTGATAAAGTTATTCTTTATAAATACTTGTATGCATAAAAAGAGACTTTTTGTGACAAGGAATATTGGACTCGTTACAATATACATTTATGTACATATATGTATTTATTCTTATTCATAATACCTTGCCGTCAAGATTATATTATGTTTCTTCAATAAATATAGAACATGTCATGTTTAATGCTGATCTGTTTTTATATTCCTGTGAAGCGGGATTTATTCCAAAACTTTTACATGAGAAGATTGATTGATTGATGTAGTTTTACGTTCCATTTGAGAATTTTTCATTCATATAGAGATGTTACCATATACCGGCGAAGGGCTTCAAATTAAATACAGACCTATACTCGTCACTCAGGACCATTGAGCAGTGAAGGTACATTATCGTGTCAACGCACCGTGACACGGAACCTCGGATTTTAAGACCTATGACTTTCATTTGTAGTGCCGGGCGCTTGGCGGAGGATCAGTCACTACCTGAGTTTACGTCTTAGGTTTGACGATCGAGAATCGAACCCTGACCTCCCGATAACGAACGCCCTATCACTAGGCTACCGTGTCTGGTTCTGCATGAGAAGAGAACACTTTCGTTGGCCTTCAACTCATAAGGCAGATCTATCGACGACTTATCATTAATTAACAACAGTTACTTCTTTTCATATATATCCCAGTGAACTCGGAATTAAAGACACCTCAGAGTCTGCCACATCTGTTTCATATTTGGATGTTTAACTGACTGTCGACGATAAGGGCCAGCTAACAACTAAATTGAATGACAAATGAGATGACTTATCTTTTCCATTGTCAACTTTTCTTTTTTATGTAGTAATCGATCACCTGTACATGGTGTTTATGTCTCCCAACAAATTCGATACTCAAGATCATGCTCTGAGTACGAATAATTCTTAAACCGAGGCATAAAATAAGTTGATGTTAAATGGATTGCATTAATAACCTCGTTTAAAGTCAGCATTTCGTATAATGACCTTGTAAGCAAATTAGACTATAGTTGGGTCATATTTTGACACACTAACATGCTTCATACCAATTTTTAGACCTTTGTTTTTCTATTTAATTTAACTACAGAATATTCCTTATTACCTAATTAATATGCGACCGATCGACAGGGAATACCTTACTCCTCCAAGGTACCTGAACACACCTGGAATCTCTAGAGTTCCATGTTTTATGCCCGGTTCACAGATTTGTATTGTTTGTAGGTTTTTTAAGATCAATCACTGTTCGTCATCTTCACCTTTTTCACCAATCTTAACCAAGTCATCAAATTTATTTCTTCGGTACACTTAGGGATTCTACAGGCATGAAATAACGTTAAATGGTTTCAAAAGACAGAAAGCGTTTTTTTTTTTTTTTTTTTTTTTTTTTTTTTAATCATTTTTTATACAGCAGAAAGTAATAACTAAAGTAGAGAAGCAATACACTTGAACTCTAAAATTATTGTATAAAACCTTCAAAAAACCTTTTTTTCTGCAGCAACTGTCAAACCAAAGGTAACTGTTACTCCAAATATCAAGGAGGGCCAGGTAGACTCCTCAGTTAAATGCCCTAATGGATTTGTGAGATATGAGGAATCCTGCTACAGCTTTCACTCGGAGGCATTCTCCTGGCCAGAGGCGCTGGTTTGTTGTGTCTTGTTCTATTTTATTGACTTTTGTAGAACTTTACTTTGATATTTATCCATTATGAAGGTTGGAAAAAAGCAACATATTCGCTGGACAGTAGATTATTCATGTTATCTTATATACATAGAATGTCACTGATGAATTCTTTTGAAACTTACCTTGTCAAAAGTAATATACAAAATTATAAAAATGAAAAAATGGATTAATAATTGTATACTTTTTCCCCAGCAGCAACTTATGGCTATGATATTGTTTATGTAATAAAAACAAACATTTCTTTTTAAGGTGTTTTGTAGTACATTCAAAAACACTCTGGTAACCCTGAGATCAACTGCCCAGTATGAATTTCTGCAAGGCATTTTAGCAACTATCACAGGTAATTGTATCTTCTATTTCTTTATAAACTGACCCTTTTCGTACCCAATGAAAACATTGCATTTTCAAAGCCATGCCTATAAAACAAGGTAATATATGTACATAATTTGATAATTAGTAATGCATGTAGTGCAATTAAAAATGTATCTCTGTCAAAAGAGTTTTTTTTTTTTTCAAATCCAAGACAAGTAATTTTTTCAGGAGCGGAATGATCAAAATAAAGCAAGAAATTATAAAATTCTTTTATTTATAAATGGGTGAATTAAAAAAAAATGACCAAATGCATATTTATCAACCCACACTAAAAATACAGGCAACGAAAATAGATTTCTATATCTCATCATATGTCTTTAGATAGTGTCTAAATACCTGCCAAATATCTCGTTGATATTTCAATTAACAAAAAAGTTATGCCCAAAAATGATGCTAAAATTGTCAGGAGTGCAACACCTTTTTGTGACATTTTGAAATTTCAATATTTTTTGGAGATCTGTGAAAAAAAAAATAATGCTTCATGTTGAAAATAAAGACTTTCCTGACAATATTCAAAGTATTGAGCTTTAAATGTGGACTGTCATAACTTTTGTTTAATCAAGTTGTGGTCATGGCTGATGTTTAAAAAAATGTTATACCATGTCAGGAGTGCAACAGAAAAAAATGTAGTGTTGCCAAAAAAACATCACTTGTCAATTGTTTTCTGATAGAAAATTAAGACAAAAAAGAATTTTGGAAGTGTAAAATAATAACTGATATACATTTTAAAGCTTAAAAATGTTATATAAATCACAAGCAGCATTAATGAGAGTCAAGTATATGTGCAAACCCAAAAATGTCAGGAGTGCAACAGTTGATGTTTTCTTTTTCTCCCAAGCATGAAAAAACTATTATCATTATATGATTTTCTGATTTTTATTTTGGAAAATAAAGACACAAAGAACATTTTTACCAAATAGATTTATCAATTACAGGATCTGTCTGTGCTTCAGATCCATATTTCTATGGTCAGGAGTGCAACATATTTTTTTAAAGATTCAAGTTGTGTGACAAAAAGACTTCTATTCATGCTTAGAAGTATTCATTAATTAATAATGATCTTTTTGTATAATTTAATGCTAAATTATTGACAGTTTTTTTTTTTATTAAAATCCTTCCTTTTTCAATTTTATCAATTCAGATGTGTTTTTATATTTTTCGTGATTTTTTTTAAAGAACGTTAAAAATAAACACACTAAAACATTGTCATAAAATTAAAGTAATTCCTCCTCAGCTTCACTGAAACAACAGAACAGGTTCTTATGTAATTTTCACTTCACAATTCTACTTTAAAGGCCCCAATGCTTTTGGTCAGGAGTGCAACAAATATGTTAGAAATATAAATCATAAATTAAGAATAAATATAAAGAAAAAATGATGAGCAGAATTTTTCTGGTGGGTTACTGTTTTGTCTTCTAAAGGAAAATATGCTTTAAAATATATTTTATGTTCTAAATATACATTTAAGCTAGTTTGTTGGCATAAAATAGGGCATAATTTCAGATAAAATGCGATTTTAAATACTTTCATCTGTTTTAATTATGAAGTATTGGACTAAAAGTATTGCACAATTTCATTACCACTTGATGTTGCCAACACTCTATGAATTTTGTGTTCTATGGTTTTAATTTTAAACTTTACTGCAGTCAGGAGTGCAACAAACCTGCTTCATAATTACCGATGCTTTTAACTATCTTTACTAAAAATAAGTTGAAAAAAAATGCTTGATACTATTTGATGTTCAAAACACTATGTCTATCAACAAATTACAGAAATTTTACAGTCAATTCAGGGAATAGTTTTCATCATTTCACATATATTTTAAATACAATTTATATATATTACACTTTGCAAATAATCATGTTTTAAGGTCTTCAAAATATGAAAAAATTACTGTAAACGATGAAAAATATCAACACGACAAATTGATTTACAAAGTAAGAATAGGTTATTGTGTGTTATAATTTTTAAAACAATATTAAATAAAATACATATCAGATGTCAGGAGTGCAACACAATAATGTAACATAGGGTCACTTCAAAATCTAGTATTTTTTGTAAGAGAACTCGTATATAATAATTCTTTTTTGGCTTAGATTTAAAGAATTGACTTGAACGGACAAAAAAGGGAACTTTGGGGAATTTTATTGCTTCATATTTTTTTCATATTAAAACTTTTCAAACCAGAATTGAAAAAATAATGTAAAATAACAATCAAAAAGCCAATTTTTTGTCACATGTACAAGAGAAGATACTCATTCAAGGTCTAGATTTAATCATTTATACCCCTTTTACCATTTTGAAGCATAAAAAACTATAATTTTTTTGTGATTATGTATTTTAGAAAGTCTTTTAAGGTGTAATGATATTTTCTTTTTTCAAAAGAAATTTTACTAATAAAAATTCTGAAACTTTTTAATCCAATTGTCTATTCTATTGCCACTTCAGGATTTTAAACTAGAATGCATTTGCAATATGATGATATAAGTGAAATATATGTTACAAGTAGTTGAATTTTGCCAAAAAAATTCAGTTTGGTGTCATTTCTTTTTTTATTTCACCCAAATCTGAAAATAGGAGATGTCAACTTTCTTTTTAAAGCAATTCTTTGCAAATCAATTAATCATTATTAAGGACTTTTAGGAATTCTCAAATTCTTCCATTCATTTACATGTACCTTAGAGATTAGATTATATAATGCAGCACATCTGTTTTAAATAAATCGATTTTTTATAATGATAATTCGAAGGGTAGCCAAAATTATAAACGAGCATGTAAGATTTAGCTATTGAGTGCAATGAGCATGTTTGAAGGCTACTGACCTCCAGTGCACTGGCTGGAACTTAGAACATCTTTATTGCAGCTCCCGAGGTCCAAGCTATAAAACACACTACTCCGTCCCCATTTTATTCATACAATTTCCGTCCAAGTAGACAGCAAAGACAAAATAATCTACAATTTCGATCTGAATCCGTATCCACAGGTGGGTTCACTGCTGCAGGATTTTGGACAGCCGGAACAGCAGCAGACCTTCCAGGTGAATGGAAATGGGCTACCAACAATAGGGACATTGAATTTGACACGTTTAATGCCACAGACCCAAATAAAGCTACTCTAGGATTCTCTACAAAACAGCGAAGTGGATGCCTGGCCCTTGCCAAGGCCGTTGGATTCCGAGTCTCCAGGATGGATTGCAAGACTCCGCTGCACTTTGTTTGTGAACGTCTTGATCCATACTAAAGCATGGACTACAATCATGACTGGATTACTTGTTTGCTGATATATGAAGGGTAGCATGTCTTGCTTTGAAGTCAAATTATGGATTACATTTTTTTAAAATTATTATCATATACCGTGATGCTCATATGTTCACCTTTCAGTGATGCATGTCTTTCTGTCTGTCATATACTGGTTCGTCATCTTAATGTTTCAAAGTGATAATCAAATGTATGTCTGGGAATTGTGGAATTTTCAGTTCTTCATAATTGTAACGTTGACTACATGTAATACATTATATGAGAATAGATACTAATAAGACATTTTTTAAACAAAAAAAATCATTGTAAAACTCCCAAAAGTGTACCAGTCACAGTATTCCGAATTACTGAGCTTGAATTCAAAAATGTTCATAATACTTTGTAATAGTGACTTTAAAATTTAAAATCTTAATCATGATTCATGATTCACTTTTCATCAATCATAGAAAATTGACAATCAGGACCCTATGTGGATCTTAATAGACAAAATGTATGTTATGTTATTTTATATAACAATAACATGTTAATTTTTTTTAATATATATTTCTTTAAGAGTCCAAAATTTTCTTTGTATTAAATACTTAAAATAAGTATGCAAGTACTATTTCTTGTGAAAAAAAAAATGTCCAACGACTGTATAACATCCTAACTGTTTTCTAGCTTATATTTTTTGTATCTCATTTTATTATCATAATGCACAATTTCTCTTGTGTTAAAACGTATACATATGCAATTCATTATTTTGTGTATTGTCTACTGATGTTACAATAACTATACTCTATATATCATTAAAGTGTTTTTTTTTTTAAATTTCCAGTGATTCTCCTCATAATGTAAAAACTATTTCAGACTTCGATGTTTGTTTATCTCATAATTAAAGATCACATTTTGACGATATAAATGCAATGCAGAAAAAAATACATTGTGTTAACTTCTTATCCTCTTTACTTCTCATTGAATTTCCTTAATCAGACTATGGAATACTCCATTTACCTAATCAATTCAGAGGGCTCACGGCAAGTGTGACCAATCGACGGGAGATGCTTCCTCCTCGTATACAGTTGATCCCACCTAGGATGTTTCAGGGGTCCGTATCCTTTGTTCACGATTCTCTACTGAATTATGGGATTGATTACTGTTCGTTATCTTCTCCTTTTTCATTCCCAGGAAATGGCTCTTTCATACGAAAAAATTATGTTCAATTTCAAAATGAATACGATCGTAGCTTATCCTGTCATGTAAAAGTAAAAAAAAAATGTTTATGCATGCTGTGATAACATAAGACAGTATCTCACTTTAAATAATATTTTAATTCAACTCATAATAAGTAGATACAGTATAAATCTTAAAATATATATCACAGTATATTTATCACAAGCAATGCCAATATTTACAAGTCCCGTTTCAAATACTCTTACATATTTGGCATTAACAAATTGTGCTTCATTTTTAAAAAGAAGTGAACGAACGAAAGTAAATAATAACGAAAGATAAAAACAAAGCACGTTGTTTTTAGGAATGAGGAATTTATATCATTATTACTCCTCATGGTGGACCGTCTTCGGAATATAAGTATATATGTTCATGTAATACTGAATATTGGCACAATGAAAATTAGGAACATCGAATGGATTTACTTTCCTTCACTTCCACCATTACAGTTTCCAGTCAACCGTTTCTAATTCCTAACTTTTGTAGGATTTAGTGATTTTTCAAACTTATTTCTTGCATTCATAGCCTTCAGATCTCCAAGGCCTGGAACACTTTTTGCTAAATATTTGTTGTACTGGTTTTTGGTCTCCAGACGAACTGGGGCTGTTGTAAGTCCATCGGGTAGAGCAGCAAATTTGTTTGTGGGCATTCCCAATTGTCGTGGGGCGTCGATTGACTTTCTCGTCGTGGTACTCACCTGAACTGTGTACTGTGTTGGAGGGAATGTCTGCTTATGTATCTGTGGTAATATATTTTCCTTACTCTTTCTTCTCTTGGTATCTTCCTCAAAATCTTGTAAACGATCGCTCCTGTCAGTGCTTACGGACGACACAGCTCCATTAAGATTTTCCACACTGATCAATTCTCTGGAGGATCTTGATTTTGAGTTTTTCAGCCTTTTCAGTTCTTGTTCCAATTCAGTGATTCTGTTTTTGGATTTTGTACCCTCAGATTCTAGAAGCTGTATGCGAGTATCCTTCTTTCGGTTTTCAAGTTTTACATCCTGTAGTTGGTTTCGCATGACATTCATTATGGCAGATTGCCATACCGTTGCTCCCATCTGGAAAGCATTTTTCTTCTTTTCGTCTTCTTGGGCTTTTTTCTTTGAGCTTTCTACAATTTCATCGTATTCTTGAATTTTCTCTTTCAGTTCTGTCATTGTTTCGTCTGTTCTCACTGCATATTCTCTATAAGCGTCCATCAGAGAAGGGGCACCCATACCTGTCTCAAACCCCATATGTGTCAAACAAAAATCTCGTTGCTCGCAGAGGTCAAAATATTTCATGCCAATATTCTTCAGTTCTTCATGCTTCTCTAACAATCTATCCACATCTTCACTAAGAAATGCAAATTCATCTATATGTAACTCCACTTCCTGTTTCTGTGTTAACCTTTTTGGACGACTCTGAAGGGCGTCGCTTAGCTTTCCCTTTATATTTCTCAAAGTTGCTTCCGCATTATTGAGCTTTTCTTTAGCTTTTTGTAACTGATTTTCATTGGCTTGGTTGAATCGAAGCTGTGAGCTTACATCACCCTTATGCTTGGAAGATACCTCTTTTAAATTATTTTCTAAGCTTTTCACTTGAGCGTTAAGCCCATTGATTTCCATTTTGCTATCTTCGAGTTTTGCTTTCATGTTTTGTAATACTGTATGCCATTTTTCAGCCTCCGTTCGATGCTGGTCATTTTGCTCTATCAATTTACGACGAGCTTCTACTGCCTTTTCTTTGTCTCTAACGTCATCTTTCCAAACCATTTTTAGTGCTTCCGTTCTTAGCTGAGAAAAAAAGTACACGAATAGAATTGTACAATAATAAAGAATCACAAGTCCGTGATAATAATTTTATGTTCAATTTATATTTTTAAAAAGAGGATATTACTTTTTCATCCTTAAAACTATATCTGCATCAGTTATGTCAACAGATATTTTGAGAAATAAAACTATATTCCTTGTTAAAATGCACTAATCGATAGTAAACTGCACAAGCACTTAATTTAGTGTAAAAAAAAAGGTTCATATTTGCGTAACTATAATTTAGCATTCGGTATTTTTATTTTTCTAATGGAGACATTCAAAAAATTAGCGCACATAAGATGAACCAAATTAAGGCACCAGAAATTAGTACATATACAGTACCTTATCGACAAAGAACTTTTCTACTCCATCTCTCTCATGACTTCGTAAGCGATCGAGGAAAGGCAATCTTCTGTACATTTCTTTTGTATCAAATTTTGTTGCCAGAACATCTAAAAAAAAAAAAAAGATTTTTTAAAAATTCATTTTTAAAGAAACAGTTAAACCCATATAGCTCATTGTTGCCAAAATTGAATGCTGAAAATGAAAGACATGTGCTTTATCCACTATCTGCAATTTTCCGTTCACTCACCGTCAGTATGTATCAAGTTGAGAAACAAGAAATGGGACACAATAGTAATTCCTAATGTGTAGTAATTAAAATATTTTTAAATGTTCAGATCTGCTTGAATATATCTGGAAATTCGAGCTTCATGGCAAGTTTAGTGTATATCCCATAAATTAAAGATCACTTTAAATTTTGCATTTGGATCAGTACCAAAACGACAAGTCAGAAAAAGGGTTTGTGGAGGTATTCTCTATCCGTGTGCCATAGTTTACAGAATGAAAGGAATATACTGCAGGGAACACTCTTTAAATTAATTGTTAAATACAGAACGAAAGTTATCGAAATAGACGGGTTCAAATTTTGGTAATCAGTGAGAACAAGGTATATATAGAGGGTTTTTGTGCTCATTAGGGGAGGCTATTCATGGGGAAAAAGAGCACACTATGTATACCTTGATTTTGTCTCTTTTCACGATCCTTGACCATTTTGTCAATTTTTTGCTCTAAAGCTGTAGAAAATAAAGTGATTATATCAAGAACAATTGCGTTTTTATTTTTACTTGACACTTTAAAATTAATTATTTTAAAACATTTTTTTTTTATTATATGGAAAATTCGCTCTAGTCATGATAAATTAAGGAAATCGGTTTCATCAGTGGCTTTATTTAATATTTAGTATTACTACAAATCCGTGCCTTAAAATCGTTGACTGAGAAAAACTCTGTATAATATAAGTCATATTTAAATTACTAGTGGTTCGAAGGTATGATTAGGTTTCACAAAATTTAATTCAGCAAAAGGGCAGTTATAATTAGACAAGGGCCAGAAATCATTTGAGATGAAAATACCATGTAGCTGAGAATATATAGAGAGGAAAATTTGTACAACAAGAAAGGATAAATTGTACTAAGAGCGGATAAAAACCGTTGTCATCAAGTTAAGAATTCCCAAGAGTTCATTACTTGAACTAGATTAGTATGCTCTAATCTACCACCAAGTGTTAGTACACTACCATATTGTTAGTGATAATCTACGTTAGTGTAATCGTACACATTTAGTCGTATTTAGGTGAGGGGAAAAAAGATAGCGAACATCCGGGAACTTACTGAGCTCTCGTTCATCTATCTCATCCTCGTCTACGTTATGATGTATGTTTATAAAAAAAGATGCACATACAAATACATAAAAAAAAAAATGCGAAATGATATTGTCTTGTAAAATTGAAGATGATATGATTTTTCGACTGATAGTTAATAAATTTTAAGGTTGATTCCTGCAAAATGGATTTATAATAACAGTATGTTGCACTCCCCGTTCCCCAAAGCAATAACATGTCAACGACGTAGCATGCAAAGGATTGACAGAAAAACTTACCAACATCCAAAGTCCCTACAGATAATAGACATAGAACATTGTTGTCATAAAAAATTCAACTTGATATAATTTCATTCAGTGAGAAAAGATTATTTCATTCCGGAAATACAAATTTAAGTGTGAGGACAATTTTCCTTTATATTCAGAGAAAATATTGTTAGGTATTTAAGTCCCTATTTCAATAAAATATCATTGTCTTTAATGTTTGAATTAATGAAAATGATCTCATCATGATTGATAAAAAATTAGATGTGTCCGATTCTCAGATATATGCTGTGAAGTAAACGTGCTCAGAATACATTTTAAGTTTTATTTCGTACCATCTAATAACTACTGTGTACTACTATGTACACATACCTTCATCTCGTAGAAAGTCTGCTAAAAAGTTGTGTCCACATTTTTGGAGGACGTCACAGAATTTCCCGTAAGAATCGGAAACTCCTCTGATAGGAAGAATATCCAGAACGCATCCAACCTTCTGATCACGAGTTGTGGCCTCCTGAAATGATGCAAAAAATGTCTGTGGATCGGTCTGCGACAAAGAATATATTGTAGCATATCAATGCATTGACTGTCTATTAGTATGTCCGATACGAAAAACAAAATTCAATGTTTTGGCTTTTGAAATATCATTTTCGGCTTGAGCTATGGTAAAGAGGAATTGTATCTTATAAAAATGAGCCAAATTTTTCTTTCATTCAAAATGGAGGAGAGGAAATTTTTCATGTCAATTTTCGCCAATACTGGAATGCTGTTGTCTTTAATTTCTTCTTCGGAAACGAAGTAAATGTTTGGATGCAAAGCATTAGACAAACTGAATTCCAGTTTTGCGCCAGGAATGAAAGGTATTCAGTTCGGGGCGTTTATTTTCCTGGGAAAAATTCATCATCGAAAATATTTAGTTGAATATGTAGATAAAGCATATTGGAAGCGAAAAAATTAAAATTTGTTTGTCTGAAAGAAAAAGCCATTGTTTGCTTCGAATAAGCCGCAATTGAGACACATACTGAAAGCTTGCCTTAATGCGTTCCCTCTGACTATTCACAATAGGTGCAGAGGTACATGTAACTACAAAAAAAAAAAAAAAAAAAAAAAAAAAAAAAAAAAAAAAAAAAAAAAAAAAAACTGCAAATTTTTGACAAAATTAGATGAAAGATTTTAAACAGTTAAGTGGTGTTAACTTTATGGCCTGTTAAATTCGATTAATTGATCTTATTAATGACTACAGTTATTACGATAGAGATACAATGTAATAAATAAAAATCTTTCGTTCAAAGTGTTTCTTCCAGGTTTAGGCCGATTAGTTACCAAATCACACCGTACAATGGAGCGGATTTTACACTAGATTTCAAAAGACCATTAACCTATGAACTATTAATATACTACCGATGAACTGCAATTTAATCGCAATTCGCGTTCCACAATAAATTTATACTTAAAAAATCTATAATTCCTTTGTACGTTTGAGGAGGGTTGAAATGCTTATTTATCTTCCGAAACTGAAGTTCCACGAATGTGTGGTGTGCCTAGATTTGAGAGCATCGTGATGTTGCTTTTCTCGTAAATAACGAAATTTCCATTTAAGCATTTTATTGTAGTTATGTTGAATATTGATATTTAAGACATAAATCTAATGTCCATGAGAAGAGAACACAAATTGAAACGAAGCACAATGAACCAGAGTAGAGTCAAAAGATCTGACATTCATTCATTTTGATATTGACATTTAATACATTAGCTATTATGCAATAATTGTAGTTCAATTTTTTTCAACAACACAGCATTCAATGTTGATTATTCATGTTTCTAGGATTTGGATTTATTGGCTTCGATTAATGTAACTTAAAAAATGGCTTATTTTACTACATTGTCAACAACATATGAGAGAGAGAGAAAGATTTAAAAGAATTTCATAAAACAAGATGACTGACAAATTTAGGCCTTATTTATGAATTTTACAGCTTTCCTAGTGGATTTGTCATCACACAAGCAAAGTATTTAATTACCCAGTATTAACAACTTACAAGACAAACTGGAGTGTCCGGGGAGGGAGGGGGGCTTATACCTATGTATAAAATGCATGAAGAATAGTGTGCCCGATTGTTGTACTCGTAATCTTTATCGTTTAATCGACAACAACAAAGATATGTGGAATAATAAACAGATTTTTAATTACTGTGTTTGCCAAATACGATACATATGACATCAAACCGTCAAAAGGCATTAAAAAGAATGAATTCATTGTCGTCTTGAGGTGTTAAAAGTCTTAATACGTTTATCGACTTGTTTTCATTTACAAGTCTATATAACCTGAGAGATACATGTACTCCCTAAGTTTAAGAATTATAGGTATGTTAATTTTATCGGTGACTAAGACTTGTTTTTCCAACTTGCTTCTAACATCCTAGAAGTTTCACCGAATTTCAAAATATTTATTGGTACCTGAACACTACATTTGAAAAGGAGACACTTAAGGTTTCCAATTAAATCGCCTATTTGTAATTTAATGGTAAAATTCTCAATCAAAGAAGTGTTTTAAAAAATCTGAATTTAAAAAATGGATCGAATGTGATACATTTAGTTGGGTAAAAAATAACAACGTGGGCTTTAAATTGTATGATTGTATTTCAGTAGCTTTAAATACGAGTTTTCAGTCAAGTAAGACATTGAGAAATAGCTACCGTTTTGAAAACACACTAGCCTTTGTATGGAAAAAGCTTTTGTTTAAGATATAAACATTTTATCTTTTGTTTTCAAAAGAGAGCAAGAGTTTATGTTTGCTGTTTTCTTCAGAAATAAAATATGTATTTTGTGCCAGGTAATATTGCTTCTCTGAATGAACAACTATATAAAGCCCAATATGAATGATTTAAATAAATTCGCAACAATTCGATATCGATGAAGTTCAAACACAAAAAAGGCATTACTATCCCTCCAAATGAGAATTTAATCCTTTAACAAATATTAGAAGATACATTCTCGAGACCAGAATTCAATATAATTAGAAATGTCGGATTCTTTTGTGGCAAGAGGTGAAATTTCTACTTGTCGCGAACTTTGTCCGTAATGGCCTAGTAAAGGCGAGATTGAAGAAAACCCCAGAGTTGTCAGTGCTGGTTTTAATTCCTCTGATTGATTCCGAAATGGACGCATTTTTAATACTCTTATGAGAATTGCACAGGCCAAACCTTTGTTCAAGATTGTTATATTAATTCCAGCCAAGGCCAAATTTGTAATGAATTCAGAATTAAAACCAGACAAGCAATTAAAATTGTCTGCCAGAGGATATTCACACAAAAGATTTCATTTGTTTGAGAGTAGACCAGATAAAATGCTGATTAATAATCGAGATTTCGATAATTGCTTTGAAGTCACCGTTGATTATAAATCAAATCACCGCATGTTCGTTAAAAACATTTTGTCGATATTTGCATATTTTTGTTCCTATGAGAAAAGGGTTGTTTGAACAGTGAAGATTTTCCCGTATCATATGTATATGTCATTTGTTGTAAAGCATGCTGGGCTTGTGTCAACACAAGACATAATACAAGAGAGCATTATCCTTGTACTCGGTGCAGCTATAGGCTCTTATCTTGAATGTTGTTATATTGATTATGCTAAATTGAATGGTTAAAATCTAAACTGTACAAATGCAATATTATTTTTCCACGTTTTATTTCTTTTTTTAGAAAAAGAGATTGCCTTTCTAGTAACAAAATAATTTGTTAATATGTTTATTGTTAATTTTAAACAAATTCAATCGATATGCACAAAGTTAGATGATTTTACCGCATGCTAACATTGTTGTATATTGGGCAGCTATGGCAAAATAATACTGGTAGATTATTATTTCAGGTTTTCAATCAATCGCTCCTTCTTTTAAAATTATGTGTGCTATTCAAGACTAAATATCCTTTAAATACAGAAAACGGATGATCTGTGAATGATTTAAGGCAACGCCCACTTAATGTACAAGTCAGCAAGCCTTATCTGTAACCCTATCTGTATCGAAGAAATCCCCAATCAAAACAGAATATAAAGACAAATTTAAAATACGGGAACTTAGCTGGAAACTAAGCTGGGGTACTTATCTTTAAATTCCTGGCAATTTTTTTTTATTAAAAAAAATACAAAGGACATTTTTTTCAAAATGAAGCAAAAAATTAATCTAGTTAACGGAGAAGAAGAAAGTCTGGAAAATAAGAACTGACAAAATGAAATACCATAAAATTATAGCTAAAATCATTGTCAGAGTTTTATCAATTGACAATTACAATTAATATGTTATTACTCTATTCATACTAACATACTTTTGTCAATGGTCATTTTATCATTCTTTAAAATTCATCATTCTTTATGCAAATATGACACCCTCGAAAGTGGAATACCTGTATTGCTCTATATACAGAATCTGGCACCAATCCTTCGTTTCTTAGGGACTCTAATAAATTGTCCGTCCATATGATGTTCTTGGTAAGAAACGACCTATGAAGTTGTATGATGTGTCTGTATCTTTCATCCATTTTCAGTTTCGATGTAATAGAATGTTAATTTCAATCCTGATGTTCGTAAATTACATCCATATGTTAATTTCTCCTTATATTTTCTTCTCCGAAGTAAAAGTCGTGAATATGAATATTTCTCCAACTAGAATTTACTTCTAATCTCCCCAATACACCTAATCATAAGTGATTAATCCTGTATTTGTGAGAGTCAAGCGCATAAGTAATAATAGACTTATGAACACATTTTTGGGCAGAGGTTTTATTGCACTTCATAAGACTTCTTAACACTTTCAGGTCTTCTAATCCATGTTTTAAATTTCCACCCGATGAAGATTTCGTCTGTAAATTTAGTTTTAACAGCGGATCTTATACCGCAATACGTCACGGTGACAAGGAATTAAATTTTGTTTTATGAAAAACCGATCAATGAAAAAAAATCATCACGTGACCTCTGATGAGATGATAAAAGGATGTTTAAGCAGTTTATAGATCTCTATTCAAATGTTATAAAAAGAATTGATTCTTAAAATTAACAATACAAGTCCCAGATGAAGCGTAAGGAAGATCGGTTTAATGTTGAGTTCAGTAATACAGGTGGATGATATGGCCATTGATTTTTATTAGGTCTGAATTACTCTACTTGAAAGATACCAATATTTTATTTCCTGATTTAAAAGTCTTCTCAATGAAAAAAATACGTCAATTGGAATTCTAAGTTTGAAGGTATGGCTTAAGTTAGATTTACATCCTATTTACAAATTGTCTCCAAAATGATCTTGTACGGGCTTGGTATGTCCGAGGTGACCTTTATCGATGCTTTAGATATACATATACACAAATTATGAAAGAAGATGCGTGAAATTCATCGTAAAACTTTAATGTATGTTAAAAATGAACATCATTGAAACACATGGAGTACAGTGTAATTAATGATTTTCATTTTAATGTAAATAAAAATCAGGACTTAATATACTAAATTTAGTAAATTATCAGTAATTTTATTAGAAAAAATCCCAACATATGGAGTACAGTGTAATTAATGATTTTCATTTTAATGTAAATAAAAATCAGGACTTAATATACTAAATTTAATAAATTATCAGTAATTTTATTAGAAAAAATCCCAACATTATCCAAATCATATAAAGATATTCCTGGACATTGATATATTGTAAAATGATACATGTCGGTAATCTAATAAAAGCTATTTCTCCTTAAACCCCAGGATATGATGTGAATTATAGAACAGACAGAAACTCTGTTTCGTTTGATTTCAAAATGACACAGTTTGCTTCTCCTGCTAGATTTGAATGAACTAAAATTTACAAGATATTGTCATATTCTTATGTATAGCAGTCCACTCAATATATCTATATATAATTCTATTTTTTAAAAGAAATTAATAGCTAAATAACTTTTCAAAATAATAAAAAAGAAAACAAGCAAAGAAAAACATACACGTTTACTCCCCAAATTTCCCAAGTGAGATTTACCTCAAATGGGTAAAGGCTGTTTCATTAAAATGCAGATTTTATAGATACATATTACAAATAATTATATTAATTCCAAAATAGTTATTCAAATTATTCATTATCAAAAAATATTGTAAGGGCTTGACAAAATAAATAATCCTTTCTTTTTTGTTTCTTTTTTCTCCGATTCTTTTCTTCTTTTTGTTTGTTCGTTTGTTTGTTTTTGATGTTACATACATCTAATACATGCATATAAATCACAATTTTGAATCTCTCACAGCAGGATTTGAACTAGAAATTGTTTCTGATGAGGAAATGCTAATTTTGAATAAAAATAATGTAACATTCAATTCAATTTATTTATTGCAAAAGACATACATCATATAGCATATTTAAAGATATCATAGATTATTTGATAAATATAGTGAAAAACTTAAGATCAGTTCTTAAAAAAGAAAAAAAAAAGAAATGGGGAAAAATTTCATACAGAATTCTCTTTGTACAGAGATGTACTCGTATATGGAGAATGACAATATTGAAAATATTTGAATGTTACATGTCAGATACATTTCTTCGCGCAAGGGCTTTAAATATAAAAATTCCTAATTTACATTTTTTTTTACATTGCCGAATCTTAAAAACTAGTAATTTATACCGAGAGGGCTTGCAGCAGTATTCTTTTTCTGTAATTTCCTTCCTGTTTCTACATACATGTACACAGGACACACGAGTATCAAATGATAATTATCTTTAATATCAGTACTACATGTTTTACAATACCTTTTATCTCTTAGAATATTTACGTATCTCCCCTTTAATATAATACACTTCATTCTTGTAATTTTTGTGAGCCTTCCAAATATATTTATATATTTATATATTATTTAGTAAAGGATTATCTTTCTTACCGATGTACATTTATATGTCCATATGCATGTGTTAGACATCATTTTTGGCATACCTGCAAGCTTTTTTAAATATCTCCTCATCTTGTTCAGAAACTGAGTTTCTGAGAGTCTGACTTATCTTTAAAATTACAATATAAAAAATGAGATAAAAATTACTGCAAAAAAGAAAATTAAAGCAAATATTATCATCATCAGAAAAAATACAAGTAACATTCCAACCTAAAAGTCGTGATTATTAAATATACATGTACAATGTAATATAAAAACCTAAAGGTTATAAAGTAAAGATTATAAAATACATAAAGAAAGAATTTCATTTAAGTATTTAAAAAAGTGTGAAAAAAGGAATAAAATATTTTTTCAAATCCCGAATTGTCATTACAAATGTTTGGGTGAGCAAAAAAACTTTAGTCCATTATGAAGAAGTCCAGAACATAAAGGCATTCATTGAAGAAAAACTTCGAGAGTTGCTGCTTTTTGCGTGTTCCATTGGAAAACTTTTAAAACCTTTTATGATTAAAAAGAATGGTTCATAGATAATTTACACAGAACATACATGTAAAAGTCTGTTACGTGATGGATGATGGAGGATACTCACAACTATTCACAATAAGGATCCCACTTAAATTAAGAGGAAAAAAATTGCAATCGCTACATAGCACAGAAAATTAACATACTCGTAAATTTACTTACCTTGTCATTGGTCATTTGCAAAATTATTTTGTTAAAAAACATTCTGATTGTACACACAAATACTCTGAAGTTGCTATCAAAAAGATGCTTGAGTTTCTGATTGACAATATCTATGTGGTTTTTGGAGACCAGGTCTTCCAACAATCTATTGGAATTTCCCTGAGTACCAATTGCGACCCTTTATTAGCAGACTTAACTTTGTATTCATATGAAGCAGAATTTGTTCAAAATCTTATACGTGAAAAGAAGAAAACACTTGCTGTGGCCTTCAACTCGACATTTAGATACATCCACGACGTATTGTGTTAATTAACAATGGTTATTTCCATTCTTATGTCGATACGATATATCCTAGTGAGCTTGAAATAAAAGATACCACAGAGTCTGACACATCTGTTTCATATTTGGATATTCTACTAGAAAAAGACGTTAATAGTAATCTAACAACCAAGCTTTATGATAAACGTGATGACTTTAACTTTTCCATCGTCAACTTCCCTTACTTATGCAGCAATATACCTTCATCACCTGCATACGGGGTTTATATCTCTCAGTTGATTCGATACGCAAGAGCATGATCTACGTATGAACAATTTCTAAAACGAGATAAGTTATTGACAAACAATTTGATGAAACAAGAATATCAGCAGTCTCGTTTGAAGTCGTCATTTCGAAGTTCTATGGTCGATACAATAACCTTGTCAGCAAATACAATTTATCATTGTCAAATGCTGACTGACGATTTTCATACTTATTGTTAGACCATTATTTACACACGGAATTGTCGACGTATTTTTCCGTTATTTCCCAATCATGAGAAGGAGCACACGGTGGGTGTGACCGGTGTCGCATAATATTTGGTCCGCCTCGTTTAAAGGTCCGGGGGGACCTAATACGATAACATATAAGGTCCGGCCTGCCTCTATAATAAAAGGTCCGCCTTCGGTTTAATATGCAGATTTTTCTCCTTTATTGATTCGAAATTAATTAGCTTTATTAATCTTTTTAAATTATTTAAGGTAATAATAGTTGTTATAAAAGTGTCCCTCTCAGCAAAATGGAGTTCCAGGGACGTACATGTATGTACATTGTATATATACTAACAGGATCAAGTCTAACTTGCGATATTTCGCTAGTTGCTGGATTTCGTTAGCCAATTTTAATTAATTATATTTCTAATACTATGATATATCTCAGTACAAAACCTCAAATTATCTGTCAAAAAATTATTCAAAATTTAATGTTAGCACTGATTAACTGTTAGCTCCTTATCGTAGTACATACCTCACAGATAGTGCACAAAACAAAAAATATAAAGATGCAAAGATCTGTTGATCGAGTTACCTTATGGGAAAATCATGTACGACATGTGTCTTTTATAGTTTAAGTGATATCAATATTATCATTGCAAAATAAAAAAAAATACATATATATAATACGCATACCTTCACTGGCACATTGTTCAGTATATGGTGTTCGTAAGTCCAACAATGATCATTTCATTACAGTCTCTTTCCTAACAACGTTCGACTTCAACTTCCCAAGAAGAATTTTCATATCTTTCGAAAGATATTTCATTATATCATTCATAATAATTATGCATAATTCTTACGATTCATATTGTACCTAAGTATAAAATAATTGGAGGGTCACTTTGACAGGGACTTGTGTTACGGTGTACTAGCCTATCCCGTTGTTGTTAAAACAACATGTAGACCTGTCATTTGGGGGGTAGGCCTATTGTCTCACCTGACGAAACTTGAAGTCGCATATCCCCCGTGTTTTTATAACCATCGTTTCTTATCCATTTAAAGACTAACGATTATTTCATTCTACTTGATATTACCCCGGGGTTAACACTGGTTAAGGAAGATGTGCATTAATTGGCAAAATCAAACCAAAGTCAATCGAGTTGAACATTTTAAGCAATAAAACACCCCCTCCCCCAAAAAAGGAAAAGATTATAAATGGTGTTGTTGTATTTTTGGTGGGTTGGTATAGCAGAATTATGCTGATACATGTCAAATAGTTTAAAAAGTACTGATGTTGTAGACTTTCCTCCCGCATTAATATTTTTTCCCGGAAAAACGAGCTTGGGTTTAAAGACCCCTCCCCTTTTGGAAAATGAGCCTAGCATAGGATTTTATTTCCGGAATTTTTTTTCAAATATTGTTTATTTCATTCCCTACATTTTGTAGTTTTATTTCTGACGTTTTAAAATTTTCATCTCTGACATTTATCATCATAAAGTACTTTTCCGGCAATGAAAACAAAATTGAAATTTCCCTTATAAAAAAATTAAAGAATAAATCAAGAATAATTCATTGATTTCCAAATAATAAGTTCTGCTTATATTTA